TTTAGTATAAGCCTTCTTGGTGCAATATATCTGATCTTCTTCAGAAATACAGACACCCTGCAAGGATTAACAATATTCAGTTTTCCTTCTTAAAATATTTTTGTAAAATGCTATCACAACATTAGTAACTTTCCCCAAATTCAATAGCTGTGACACTTGTGAAAAAGTTTCCATTCTCCTGCACTATATTATGAAAACACTCTCGAATTTCTTACCAAATTTTTATCAAAAATCTAGGAGTGGCTGTACGAGTCTGAACATTTCACATGCAAAAGTTGCACAGCTCTAGTATTTTGGGACAATCCAATTGGTTTTACTTAATCTCGCCGGATTGGTGATGACATATACTTGGATTTGCCCATTTCCTGCATTTTGTTCATGGTGATTATCATTAATGGATGGATTCACATTAGGCGCAATAATAGGCATATCTCCATGAGGTACAATGGGTTGCTGATCTACAATCCAGATAGCACACTGAATTTACAAAGTATTCTTTAAGTTTTCTTTTTTCTGAATTGTAATTCTTTAGGAATTCATAGAAGAATACAATAAGAGTGACAGAGGAAGTTACATGCACAATAAATCGTTTTCCTGACAACTTCTTAAAGTATTCATCTCGAATTCAATAAATGTAAACTTTATGAATTCAAGGGGAATAGTGTTAGAACAAAGAGGATTACAAAATATTTACCCAATGTATATACACATCTAATATGCAGTAACATTACACCATTATTATAATTTCTCACTCAACAGTGAGATACTCGCAACCGAAGATCGTTGACAATCGGATGTCAACGTTTCGGTTCTCGTCGTTCGATTCTTTCTTTTACACAATAGAACTATTGCACAAAATTAATTGCACATAACGTTACGCACACAAAATATTGCACGTGGTAACACGCTGCACAAGAACGTCCGGATGGCGGTTAGCGGATACTCGCGCATAACAAATATGAGGGGCAATCAAATGAAAACCGAACACCCGCCATAACACACAGTCCGCGCGAAAGAACGCAACACTGTTGTTACGTTTCGATACTGCCATCCATGGATGGATGGATAAGGCCATCAATCCGCCCTATCACATCAGGGGTAATGGCTCGATGAGCCTGTCCCTTGGTCTGTTCTGGGCGCGCATCGTCTTGCAGTGATGTGCGCCCTTCTCGAAATCAATACATAGCAGACATGCGACAATGAACTTCGCGTACTCCAGCACCCTCCGCCAGAAAACGAACCACATCTCTCTGCTTTTCTTTGCTTGCCTCCATTTGAACAGCTGGACGAACACACAAGACCAGTCCGTGCACAAACAAGGATATAACCCAACAACTGCGTGCATCTGTGAGGTGTTACTGTGCAGTTCTCCTACCACAGCGATGGCAGTATCGAAACGTAACAACAGTGTTGCTACTGTTACGTCCGATTTTTGAAAGGGGACGCGTGTCTCGCTGGGAGACAAAGAAAATAAAATGACTAGGTATTACAAGGCAGGGTTGTTAATATAAAGGTAATATAAAGGAGGAATTACACAGGATTGTGGTGGAACTAGATTTAATTATATATACATATGTACATAGTGTACAAGAGTGTAGCCGAGAACAAAATTATCAGATAGCGAAAGAAAAATGAAAGTTGGATGGAACTTCTCGACACAGAAAGGAAAACTAATTGAGGTAATACAGAAACTATTTGAGATAATAAAAAAAAAACGAAGGGGTCATTTACAGCGGGGGCATGTCTCTATTTCCCCTAGGCAGGCAGGGTGGCCTGCGGATGACCCGGACTCGAGTGGGGAGGGCTTCAATTTTCACCACGCAGGGTCGAATCTTGCGAGGGGTCTGGTTGCGTCGGAGGGCCTCAAGTTCCGGCGGGGGCCTCCTTATCTCTTCTGCCGGTGGCGCTGGGGGCGCCCTGACAAGGCTGGCCTTTGGAGGCCTAGGCGCGGGGGTGATTGGCGGGCGCGGTGCCCACGCTCTGACCGGGCAGGGATCAGGTGGCCTATGCTGTGGGAGGAGGTGTGGGTGGCCGGGGGCGAGCGGAGGTTTCGTGGGAGGAGGGGGAGGAGGGACTATGGGCTGGTTCGAGGCATGAGACTCCGGTGGAGGAAGTCGGTGTGTCAGGCAGGGGACCTGAGATTCCTGTGGAGGAAGAGGGGGCAACGGTTTTGCGGGCTCTAGTGTCCTGTCAAAGATCCTGGGGTCAAGGACCCCAGGAGTTTCGTACGCTCTTGTTAATCTGCGGAGCTGGACTAGCCGTCCAGCTCTTCGCGATCTGCCCATTTCTGGGAGTGCCTGCGGGAAGCATCTCGAATTAGCTGAGTTACAAAGCGGGGGAAGCGATGTATGCTGTTAGTCATGATTGTAACTAATGCCAACTTATTACTAATTAATATAATCCCTTAAATAGGCACTTAAAGAAAGGTAATAACTTCAAAGTCACGGGGGATGAAGTGAAATTGAAACTTCAGACGTTGTCTTTTTGTAGAATGCTCAGATGGATTCTTCGATTATAGTAATCGATTTCATTGCCGTCATCACTGCATTCTAGGCAACTTCTGATTAATATAATTGTAGTAGGGGACCCGAGAGTGAATAACTTGATCGTGGTTAAATTTAACCTGAAAGTGAAAGGAGTAAGTAGCAAAACAAAAGAGATTAAGTTAACTACTCATCAAATCAGAAGAAATCTGAAGTTAATAGAAATTTGAAAAGCGTAAGACCGATAAATCTTCGCTGTGTGCCAATTTTAGACTAAGATTCTGGTTGTTCGAGGGGTCTCTGTGAAATTGCCTCGAGAACGAGCGGGAACAAAGGTCGGTTAAGCCGGAAAAGGTCCCCCTTTCTTTTGCGGGGTTCAGACCTGGTGATTGGTGTCGACGACGTGGAGGAGATTGGTGAGGACTGGCTGCTCAATGCCAGTTCGAGGAAAGGTGATGTTTTCCCGACGGAGGAACGTCGTTACGAAGGCGCGCAACCGATGGAGGAGAACCGGAGGAACGCCGTTGGAGGCGCGCAACCGGAGGTGGAAATCGGAAGAACGCCGATGAAGGCGCGCAACCGGAGGCGGAAATCGGAAGAACGCCGATGAAGGCGCGCAACCGGAGGCGGAAAATCGGAAGAACGCCGATGAAGGCGCGCAACCGGGGGCGGAAGATCGGAAGAACGCCGATGGAGGCGCGCAACCGGGGGCGGAAGATCGGAAGAACGCCGATGAAGGCGCGCAACCGGAGGCGGAAAATCGGAGGAACGCCGTTGAAGGCGCGCAACCGAAGGCGGAGGATCGGAGGAACGCCGTTGAAGGCGCGCAACCGAAGGCGGAGGATCGGAGGAACGCCGTTGAAGGCGCGCAACCGCAGAAGGAAGATCGGAGGAACGCCAGTATAAAGGCGCGCAACCGAAGGTGGGGATAAGAAACGAAAAGTACTTGGACCAAGTACTTAGTGTCATGGACACAGGCTTTAATTCGCCTGAATAGATACAGAGTTTCTAAATTTCTAAACAGTTGCTATTCTTTTCATCGGTGTTTTATTATTAACTCCATTATTTTTTCCAATAAAATCTTTAGTTTGATTTTTTAAGAAATATAACATTTTTTAATCAAAAACTAATACTAAAGCAACTAGTTTGTATAAATATCCGTTGTTATATTTGGCGCAATTTGTTGATATCATTACTTTTGTAGAGAAGATAGTTTTGTAGAGAAGATATTTTTGTAGAGAATATACTTTTGCAAAAAAGATAGAGTAACAAAATATATTCGGTTGAATTGGAGCTTATACTTGGTGCTTTTTTTTACCTTTTTTTTTAAAAGGTAAGTTTTTTACGTGATATCACACCTTTTGTAGTGTGTAATATCTCATACTGTATTCTTTACTTGGCACAAAACTCGACATTTTTAGAATAATTATATTATCACAGCCCCGGTGGTCGAGCTGGCTAAGACGCCCGTCACGGATTGAGAGGTCCCAGGTTCGAATCCTGGCTGGGATAATAGTTTTCGCAATAAGAATTTTAATTCAATAGAGGAAAGGGTAAATTTATTTTTTTTTGTTTTTCGGCAGGAAGAGAAAATGGCTTGACCATACCTTCCAGGCCGGCCTGGAAGGTTATGCGGGACTTAGACCCACTAAAAACTCTCCCTCGATGACCACACTGGGTCGGCGTCGAGAACTGGGAACCGCCGAAGCATACTCCAGTCCTCGACAACCCTCGCGACATGCGCCCGAAGTGAAGTTAACCTCAAAATACATTGCGTACGAGTAGCCAACCTAAGTGGGTGAACCCAACACTGGTCATTCCACCAGTGGTTAGGCTCACGACTGCGTACTAAGGATGTCGCAGCATCCCAAGTATCAGAAGGAAACAAACCTGTAATCCCGAGTAACAAGAAAAATATATACAGAACCAGTAAATAAACCAAGATAAATAAATAAATAAGTACATAACTCAATAAATAAACTAGTTCGATACTAACTAAGCAAACGAGTAGCGACCGCGTACGGATAGCCAGCAGCTAATCGCCCCCCCCCCCCAAAAACGGTGACCGATCGCGAGAAGGATAAGGCGGCGCGATGCGGGTCTTGCCCCCCTGTCCCCCCGCTACGCCGCGGCATCCACGCGGCTGCTTCGTCTCAGTCGGTGGCCTCCGTTGGACGTGGAAGTCCCGACCCATCCGACATATCCCGCTCCTCGTCCAATCGTGGGAGCTTACAAGGGGAGTCACCGCTTACCCGCAACCCGCAGAGCGACCATCTCACTTCAGCAAAAGACACCACCGGAACCAAGGAATCTCCTCAGCGTCGGTAGTGACCACTGAAGCCCTCTCACATCTCGACTCTACTTTTCTCCTCCCTTTTTCCTTCTTCATTAGAATAGAGGGTTAAGGTCGTCACCGAGTCTCTCTTAATAGAGAGAGCGGGAGACCCCAACCCCAGTTATGTGAGTCGAGTCTTTTAACGGGTCAGACTCTGAAGCAGTTAACCGGTGTAATTCCAGCTAGCTATCCGAGTCCACATCTCTCATCGTGGACGGTCCCGGTCTCGATCCCGCGTCGTCCACTATGTCCGCCACCTCCTGCTGCACCCGCTGTCGTTGGCGCTCTGCTTCTTCTTTGGTTGACATGACTCTCTCCGCGAATAAGGAGAAAGCTGCCCATTTCTCCCGACTCCGATCTATTTGCCTAATTATATTGGCCAACGAAAGGTCCGCACCGATGGAAGCGGACAGCTCGGTTCGTTTACAGAGCCATGCAGGACACTCCGCAACCGTGTGTTCCACGGTATCTATCTGACTTGTCTCCCCCTCTTCCAAACTGCAATAAGGACAAACCGCAGACTCGGCCTTACCGATCCGCCTTAAGTAGGCTCCAAAGCACCCATGACCAGTTAACAGCTGCGTTACTCTGAACGTAACCTGGCCATGGGAGCGATCCATCCATAAGTCAAATGAGGGAAGAATTGCGAGTCTGGTCCTCGCGCCAGGAGTGCTGAATTTCTCCAGGCGGGCCTTCCACTCCTCTCTCATCCTGACGAGGCTCGATGCCTTAGCCTCCTCCGCGGCTCTCTTTGTCCATATACCGGCTGCACGAGCCGTCCTACCGGCCTCATACATTCGATCTCGATCCGCAATTAAAATGTCGAGTGGTGGAACTCTGACCAGCAATGTGGCAGCATCAAGAGAAGTTGTTCTATAAGCCGCCGCCACCCGCAGCGCCACTGTTTTCTGAGCATTTTTCATTAAAGACTGTAACTTCTTGTTCCTCCTAAACGAGTCACTCCAGCTGGGTGATGCATACAGCAGGACCGAAAGGATAACGCTATAGTAGAGCCTTCGTTTAGACTCACTTGGGCCTCTTAAGTTTGGCATGATTTGACTAAGTGCCCTACCCATATTAAGGGCCTTTGCCGCTGCGTATTCACAGTGTTCTCGGAAGAGCCATGTTGAGTCCAGACCCATACAGCACAAAAACCTTTCAGAAATATTTCATGTGATAG